TTCTCTTCCTGCATATTAGATTCTCTTCCTGCTGGCTGTGTTGTTCCAGTTAGGCCTGGTCATTGGCAAAACAAGCACCCAGGATCAGATGTGTTCAGAGGGGTCTGGGGGAATGGGCATGTTGAACGCGCCGGTGGCCAGAGGAGAGGAGTTCTGGTTCACGTGGCATTTGGAGGTGGATGGTTCCAACCACTGGTGCTCACCCAAAAGCTCCTTCTGTGCTGGGATCCCTGAGGGGAACAGACTGAGACTTTGTCTCGTGGTTCTGTCCCAGGAAGAACCTTTTTTTGGTGTTGGAGAGAAGTTCAGAGAAGCTGGGAAAGGAGCGTGTCAGCCCAAGAGGGGGACACGTGGTTCCTCCTCTTGCCTGTTTCCAGCTGTCACGTGCTGAGGTTTTTGGGGGGGCTGTTTTCCTTCTCCAAAATCATCTCTGTGCACAAGCCACAAATGGAAGTGTCTCATCTCAGCTGAATGTCATGTCCTCAGCACTTCAGGGCTCAGCTGGCCAACATGAGCTGGGCTTAAAACCCTCGCCTTTCACAAAACCCAGGCTCCAGGCCTTTATCTGCAGGAAGGAGGCACTGAGGTGTAGCAAAGCTGTTCCCTGTCCTGTGGGGAACCTGCTCGTGGTTTGTATTAGAACTGGATGTGATTTATCTTCTCCAGTTCCCAGGAAAAGAAGAAATCCTGCTGGCTCCAGGACAAGGAACAGGCAAACAGCCCCATCGACCATGAGAACTGTGAATGGATGGAGTGAAAAAGCCACCAGCTTTGTGGAAAGGAGGTGTCAAAAAGCCTGAAAAAAAGTTTTCTTTCTGAAATGTCTCCAAATACTGGTAAGGACAAATGTGATGGGAATGGCTGAGGAGTGGTAAATTGGTATCACCCAAAAAAGGGCTGGAATGGGGTGCTGGGTGGGTGGGCAGTGGAAGTGGGTGTTGGGAAGGTACCTGGAGAGGGAGAAGAAGTGAGCAAAAAGAACTAATGGTGGCTGCAGGGAAAGGAAACTTCCTAATTTCAAAAGCAGATGTGGTGTTTTCTTGAAGCTTTGGTTGATTGTCCTCTTGTCCAGTGAGATAAAGCTGCTCCTTCCCTGCAGAAACAGCTCAGCCCATGGGAGGAAGCTGTCTCATCCTCTCCTGCCAGGAACGTGGCCTTTCCCAAACCACTGCTGCTCCCAGTCCTTCTGTGGCCAAGGAGCCACCGTGCTGATGTGCAGGGCCCCGAGAGGAGAGAGAAATTCATCAGTGTGGGGAATAAATTCATCAAGTTGGGGATAAACTCATCAACAAGAGAAGGCAGGACTGGAAACCAGCCCAAGCACAGAGGCAGCATCTCCTGCCTGGGTAACTCCCTCTGCAGCCAGCCAGAAAGTGATGGAGCAACTTCCCCATGGACTCTATGCAATTAAAATGTGGGCAAGGCAAGAAGTGAGAAGTCTGATAAATGGGGGAGATGCCAGGTGGGCCAGAAAATAAACCCAAAGGAGGCACGTGGGGCAAGGACTCATTTTATAGGCACATGAGAACATGGGGGTGTGGATCCAGACCCTTTGGTTAGGCTCTTTTTCCTCCTGCAGTGGTCCTGGTCACTGCCATGGCTCCCCACAGGGGCTCAGCAGTGCCATGAGCCCCACAGAGGGGCAGCACTGCTCATGTCCATGGCAGGCTGATCATCTCTGTCCCCTCCCCACAGGCCCTCTGGGTTTGCCAGCACCCAGGGAGCTGCAGCTCACCCCTGAGGGATGGCAGGTGAAGCAGAAGTGACTAGGCTCAGCTGCTGGGTGTAAGAGCAGCAAAGAGCAACCTTTGGAGGTATCAAACAATCCCCAGTTTATCCCCATAGTGTCACTGGTATCAGAGGCACGAGGTCTCAGCAGCATCCTCTGCTGCCTGAGTGTCTCAGCAGCACAACATGTCACCTCCTGGCTCAGGTCTTCTTCTCCCAAGAGCCACCAGGACAGAGGGGCTGTTTTGGCTGGAATTAAGCCCGGATTTCTCTCCTCTATCACCCTGACCTTGCTCTGAGGAAGGTCCCTTTGTCAGCTCTCCAGGCTGTCAGCTGGCTCACTGAGAAGAGCATCCCTCTCTTCGTGGGTACTGGGTCTCCCTCTCCGGTAAGCAAGGAACTGGAAGGAGATCTGAGGAGAGGTTAAGGCTCTTCAGGCAAGCAAGGGTGGATCTGTGTGATGGGCTGGGTCTCACCACCCAGAAAAAGGCTGTTTGTGCCAGAAGAGGTGGAAACAGGCCAAGGAGCTGGACACAAACAGGTCTGAAGCACTCGGCTGTTACCCCATAAATGACTCACAGCTCAAAAGCAACTGCTGAGCAGCATGAACCCACCCACTCCTGCCCCTGAGACAGGGCCCCTCCCTGCAAAGCCCTGCCAGCAGGAGGTGATCCCTGAGGGAAGTGTTGGCAGGGAAAGGATACGACCACGTCGAGGGAGAGGACCCCCAGGCTGCCCACCAGCCAGGGGAGGTGGTGCAGGACGTAGTCACCTTCACCCTGCCCTGGCTCAGGGTTCTTCAGGAGGACACTGAGGCCGTAGAGAGAGTTCCCCAACATCACCAGGGCAAAGAGGGAGTAGGAGACCCCAACGGTGGATTTCCTCTTGTACTGGAAGAAGAGAGGCCAGAGAGAGGAGCTGGGGTGCAGCTCTCCAAAATCTCACCAGGAAGTAATTCTAAACACGCTCCCCCAAAAAGAGAGAAGAATAAGGGTGGGGACTCAATGCCAAGAGCCTTTTAGTTCCCCTTTTGCTTATAAATAAAGACAACACTAGAGCCTCGCCCTCAGAATATTGGTAGTTTAAAGGGAAGGAAGAAAAATGAATCAGGTCTCAGAGAAGTTATACAGAAAAACATTCCCTCATGAAACAGAGATGGGCACCTGGGACCAGTGAGCAGAGAGGACAATGATCCCACCATCCCCCCTCCATCTGACATCCCCAGGGGTCCCCAGCACCAGGCTGCTGTCCTGCCCTGCTGCCACCCAGCACTCACGTTAGTGTAGATCTGGGGCACTCGGGAGCACAGGTACAGCACGGAGGAGATGGAGCCGATGGTGAAGCCAATGACCTCGCTCTCGGTGAAAGGCTGCAAGGCAAGGAGGGGGGCGTGTTGTCAGAGATGCTCACCGCCCCCGAGTGGTGACAGGGGTCCTCTGACCTCCCCAGCCACCCCTCGCCCCGCTGAGTGTTGAGCGGGATCGCGCTGGTCCAGCAGGACGTGCCCACCCCACCGGGCACTTCACCTTCCCTCCCTCCATCACCCCGCTGGAGGAACCATCTCACCTTCGACCCGAGCCCATCGGCGTGAGCAGACAGCAGAGACCTCCCTCGGAACGTCGGCGGGTCCTGTACCGCGGCCTCCCCAGCCACCCCTCGCCCCGCTGAGTGTTGAGCGGGATCGCGCTGGTCCAGCAGGACGTGCCCACCCCACCGGGCACTTCACCTTCCCTCCCTCCATCACCCCGCTGGAGGAACCATCTCACCTCCGCCCCGAGCCCATCGGCGTGAGCAGACAGCAGAGACCTCCCTCGGAACGTCGGCGGGTCCTGTACCGCGGCAGCTCCTCTGCCCAGGGCGGAGACGGTCGACACCGCCCCCAGGGAAAGGAAGAGGAAAGCCGCGTTCAGCGGAGCAGCGACTGCAGGGAATGGAGCAGACCCGGGTGAGGGAGGGCTCCTCCGTCAGCTCCCAGCGCGGCCCGGCAGCCTGGAGGGGTGCCAGGACCCTCTCCAAGCAAAGAGACCTCCAAATTCTCCCTTATCTCTGCGGTGGCACCGCCAGCACCAGGGCCCTCGTGGCTGCAGCTGCCCCGGGTGGCTGCAGCTGCCGCGGGCGCTTTATCTCACAGCGATAGGGGCAGGCTGTGAGTTATCAGGGAGGGGACGGCTCCTATCTCGGCAGAGCGACAGCACTTGAGTTGCTTTGGGTTTAGGGCTCTTAAAAATCATCCCTCCCATCTGAAAGCTTTTTGTTATCTTAACTCACGACAGGGCACGGTCAAATCCCTGCAAGACTGGTGAGATATTCTGCAGCCAGGCTCACCAGTGTTAACAAAGCTGGTTGGTGGGCACAGTGTCTGTTGGTTTAATAAGTTCAGGCAGCTTTAGTTAGTTAAACAGTTATCAGGCTCCTGAGGGATGCCTGTTTGTAGCTCAGAGAAAGCTGCACTGCTAAAAAAAGTGGATTTTCTTCTGCTGTTTCAGCCTTGCAAGAACTGCTCACGTTCCCTTTTCACTCCATTTGAACTTCTCCCTCCTGCTGAGGCTGCTGTTAATCACGAGAGAAGGAGAACTGGCCCCAAAACTTCACCCCTGCCCCTAAAGAGCTGTCCTGAGTGGCAAGTTCTGGCTGTGGTTTCCTGCCCCAAGATGGAGTCACCATGTAACTGTGGGTAACTATTTATCTCTATGCTTCATGCAGCTCCCAGGGGGGTTATTTTCAGCCTGGCCCCTGCACAGGGCAGTTTGCAGGGGGCTGCAGAACCCCCCAGGTGTGGCTGGTGCCTGTTTGCCAGCTCTGGTGCTCAGGTTATCCAAGAAAAAAACCCCACTGAGCAACAAGAGGCATCTAACAGCTGCATCAAAGTGTCTGTGGAGCCTCTCTGCCCCAAAACACCCTCCACAGGGGTTCCTTCCCCTCCCAGCTCTGCAGCTGAGGACAAAGCAGCCCGGGAGATGTCCCAAGGGGAGCACACAGCCCTGGTACCCCGACTCACATCTGCCACCCTGGTTCTTCACTTTGTAGTAGCAGTACAGAGACAGCATCACCAGGTCTGCCAGCACGTAGTACACAGCAGTGTAAACCTGTGGGGGGATGGACGGGTCAGTCCTGCCTGCAGGAAGGCTCCCAGCTGCTGCTGGGGTCAGCCAGCAACCCTGGGAGAAAAGGGGGAGCCCCTGGGAGAGGGGAGAGAAGGGAGCTGGGGAGGGGTCTGGGGAACATGGCT